TTTCTTTTTTGCTTTGCTCTTCATCTGAAATCCAACTCTTTTGCTCTCATTCTGGTCTCTCCCCACTTCCCGTGTCAAATCATGTGGTGGACTTGCTCTTACTGTCTCTTCTAACTCTGTGATTCTATAAAATTAGGATTTCTGGGTGAGTGGATGTCAGATGGATTGAGGCTTGAAAGACAAAGGGGGGATGCAGACCAGGGCGTCTAGGACGCCCTGGTCCGGAGCGCCGCGGGGCCATGGCAGCCGCACCGCGGCGCTCCTGCGGCGTCCCTGGAAGGAGCGCTAAATCAGTGCTCCTTCCTCAAGACAGCGAAAGTGCGCCCTAAACGCGTAGGGTGCACTTTCACTGTCTTTTCTGCCGCAGCGCATGTGGTCGCTGCGGCGGGAGGTTGCCCTGGAAGCGCCGGCCGTGTGGAGGGCCGGCAGCTTCCAGGGCGACCTCAGGAAGAGGAAGGGACGCCGCGCGTGCGGCTGCCCCTCCTCTTCCCTGCCTCGGAGATGACCCTATTAGTCGTCTGCCGAGGCCCAAAGTGACTCTGGAAGGTGATATTTATCCTCACTCCATTCTTTTTCTCTTTCTTTCAAGCTCTTTCATATGCACATGGATGCATGCACATTAACCTCCCCCTCCCAGTACAGGCAAAATGCAAAGCATAAAGTAAAATAAAAATACAGGAATGGTTGTTTTCTCTTGCAGAAGACTTGCAGAAGAAATATCATGACAAGCAACACCTGCTGAAATTCTCTCTTCCATACAACTAGTAAAGGTGCAGGAGTCCTACATCTTATTTCACCTGGAAACCTTGCTTTCTGTATATAGGTGTATCTATGTTACTCAGTCTGACTACATACATAAATGGGTGCACACATATACAGAATAAAGAAAAGGTGAAACTAATAATAAAGTTCAGTTATAAACTATTTGAACTTGACTTGTTCCAGTAGTAACAAAAGAAGACATGTAGGTTTTTGTATCTTTTGACTTCCATATTTGCCTTTCCCCACGCACTTGAAGCAGCTGCAAATATTTGGATGAGTTCTCAATATTTCTTGCTGTTGGGGCAATCTTTTACTTGTGAGGAGCTACCTTCCTCCTCGGAGTCTGGTACCTAGTGATTCAGTGTCACTTAGGGATTGAGTGTGTTACTGTAGCCTGCAGATTTTTAAAACTAAAATGAATTAGTCTATTTTAAACAAAATAACCCTAAGATGCAAACTCTGAGGGTGTTCAGAGTAAGCACACCAAGTTTTGTGTGTCACAGTCCTCCTCTGTAGCACAGACAGACATCAACACACATTTATTTTTATAGAAAATGGACCATCAGCTTAAGGCCAGTATTACCTTAAGTGAGGCAGCCAAGTCAGGCAGCAAATACTGCAGGTGAGGAGTGGCAGTCAAGTGTTGGAGAACAGAGCTATATGTTCACCACACAGGGCTACATGATGGTGGCAGCCAAAGTTGAAGTAAAATCCAGCTGTCAGTCTGGTCAGTTTGATGTACACAGATGAAAAAAGAACATCTTGTTCTTCACTTCAGGCAGCAAAATGTGTCAGGTTGGTTCTACCTTAGCTGAATTCCTGGCTTCATTGCCATTTACAAATAAATCAGTTTGAAATCCAAGTTGATGGATCAGTTTGACAGTGGAGCATGGTTCACACTACACTACATTTGCCCTGATCCCATTTTCTTGTTGTAAAATAACCCACTTGTTGTTTGCATTGACTAATGAATCAATTCAAAATGGACCCTCTTCAGCTAGCCGGCAAATTTAAAGGGCACATTTAAATAAATTCCAATCCACATCCCGTTCACACTTGCACTGAATTGATTTATTGCAAAAGACGCAGAAAAAAAGAGCATCAAGAAGATGCACACTAAATGGGTCTAGTGTAGTGCCCCCCTCACCAAACTGCTTCAGTGATTTGGCTCAAGTGTGAACAAGGGTCTTTAAACAACTTTAAACTGGTTAGCAAACTGGGTTTTAATGTAGTGGGAATGAGGCCCCTGTTTAAATTGAAAAGATAAATTATAATGTTCTTTTTGATTCATCCTTTGAAAGAGAAATGTGTCACATGCAATATTAAATACACACAAGTACTGGGTCATAACATTAATTTAATTAGTATACATTTCATTCTCCATAACAGGTTAAGACCACATTTAAAAGAAAGTCTTTGTAGATCTATTCATAAGTTAAATCTCATAGAGTTTCATATAAGTATGTCTATAAATGCGGCCTTATTTATTTTTCATTAAATGACTGCTTGTTTTTAAAAAGTAATAATGAAGGGAAAGGGCAGAAACAAAAATGGATTATAAATGAGACAACAATAATTTTTCTTATGATAGGTAGAGAAGAGAGATGGACAGTCTTGGTGTTTTTTAATTTTTACCTTAATTTGATAGAAAAATTTAAGGTGTAGTCAAATGGGTAGAAATTATTAAAATATCATGTTTTGCAATTTGCTTGGGCTCAGCTGGTTCTGAAGCCTACAGCTGTTCCTTAGTGTCTAGATACAAACTTTTACATATGGTCCACATTAATCATCAAGACAGATTACTGAATTCATGTGCAGATATTAGAAAAGCCAATACTTCTGTCAAATCCAATCTGAACACCTGTTTGCAGCAATTTGTTATCAGTGTAAAGTGATGATTAATAACACAGTTAAATTGCTATGATAAGATGTCAAAATTCATAAATTGCATGAAACAATAGCGTTGGAGAATTACTAACAGAATTTGCTAATGATGTGATCTTTAGTGTTAACTCTTTCCAAGCCTGCAAATTTTTAATAGAAAGTATGACAGAAGACAAAGAAGACAGTTGTGGCATTTTTAAGATTAAGAGATTTGTGTCTTTATCTGTGTAAATGCCACAAGTCTTTGAAGAGCAAAAGACCACCTTTTGTTTTGTTTGGGTGTAACATTCTATATGGCTGTGAAATAGAAGATATTAACAGTATGAACGCGGGAGGGTAATGTTGGTTGTGGGAAGAATTTATAGATTTAAATGGTTCAAATTGGCAATGAAATAAGGTGTCTGCAAAGGCTATGGGGATCAATTCCATTTAGGAAACACTGTTGAAAATGAGCACTGGACATTTTTTGCCAGTGGCCACATCCATTTCCTTCACTGAATATAACAGGATATGATTACTAAAGACATAAGGGACGGGAAATTGTGATAGCACAGGCATTATTGGGCTCATCCTCCTCTTCTTCCTCCTTGTGTTTTCCTTCATCTACATCCTTATTCTTCATTTGCAGTAGCTATTGACCAGACTATTGGGGATCATGAGAGTTGTCCAACAACAGGTAGATGTCCACAGTTTCCCTACTTTGCATTGTCATGCATATCTGATCTCTAGCAAAGCAAAGAACTGAGGCTGAATCTGTTATGCAGAAATTGTGTAGCTTGACATTGCTTTAATTGCCATGGCTCAGTGCTATGGAATTATGGGATTTGTAGTTTTGTGAGCTAATTAGCCATCTCTGTCAGAGATCTCTGGTGCCACAACAAACTACTGCAGAGTGAACTCTGCAGAGCAGATTCATCCTGAGACTCTTCCTTTAGTTGCTAGTATTTCCATTGATCACAAGATTCTGTTAGTAAAGGTCCTCCATTTTTCATATATATTTTACTATGTGGAGTCCCCTATGACCCCCTGGGAAATAGAAGCCATAATCCCTAAGATACCTAATAGTGTTTGTTTGTCTCAGTCTCACACTTGATGAGACAGTGATTAAATTTGATGGCACCTCCTTTCTCTAGCTTCCTTTCCTTGATTGCTTTGATACCACATGCATTGTTTAGACTATGCCCAGACTTAAGTAAACAATGAAAAGCCCATCATTCCTTTGTCTAGCTCAGGGGTAGGCAACCTTTCCCCTTTAAGGGCTGAGGGACCTCAGCTCCCAGAATCCCAGGAGCTATTGGCCAACATGGGACTATTGGCCAACATGGCTGAGGCTTCTGGGAGCTGAAGTCCCTCGGCCCTTAAAGGGGAAAGGTTGCTTACCCCTGGTCTAGCTATTGTCCGGCCCATGGCTAGAAGGCAGAATTTCCCTATAAGAACTCCTGGATTTTAGCAGACCTCGTGCTACCTTGGAAGTGCATGCTGAAACTCTGTCGGTCTGTGCTCTTAGATAGTTCCCGCAACCTCCCCTCTTCCCGGTCGTGCCCCTTCCACGGAGCTCATCTTCATTCGCCGCCAAAGCCCAGAGGAGTCACTTGGGTGTAAGTATATCCTCTGTCCTGGTCATTCTCTCTTTGCCTTCCCCACTCTCGCTCTTCCCCCACTTATTCCTCTAGCATGTGTGTGTGTATGTGTGTGTGTGCTGCATTTGGATGTTTGCTTATTTTGTTAATAAAAGATTTCATACTTTAATTGGAGCTTGGTCAGTCTCAGTGTCTTTCCTAGCCAAAAACTCTTATATCTCCTGTAGACAATTGGACAAGATCTTAGAAGCGAAGCTGGGTGCTTCCCTCTCATTTGAGCTAATTATAAATTCCCCAAAATTAGGTCTCAGTTTCCCAACAATTCACAGAACAATTTGGAGTATATCCATTCAGAAATAATATCCAATGAGTTACAATGTTGAGCTGAGGTAAACAGCTAGCCTTTGTCTCCCCCCCGCCCCCGCCCCTTCTTGTCTGTCTATCCTGTTGTTAAAATGATCTGTCAACTGACCCTGTTCATTTTCTTTGGGCTTTAATATCTTCCTAATGTTCATTGCTTTTTCTTAATTTTTTGAGGCAGATCAAAATGTCAACATATGAAAGTATTTGTACAACAGTAGTTAACACCTCCCCAAATATTTATAATGCTCCTAACAATCTTTGCATTCACTAGAAGTCAGGGGGTGGGTGATTCATTTTGGTGAAATAATGCACAGTTACTCCTAAAGGTTCCTTTTGCTATAAGCTTGATAACAGGCTACTGAACCCAACTGAAATACTGAAATAAGTGGGATGTAATATCAGGTGTAGAACACCAATGTAGTCTAGTGGTTTGAGCACTGGGCTATGATTCTAGAGACCAGGGTTCAAATCCCCTCTTGGCCATGGAACTTTACTTGATGACTTTGGGCAACTCATTTTCCCTCAGCCTCAGAGAATGGCAATAGCAAACCCCCTCTGAAGAAACTTGCCAAGAAAATCCTGTGATAGGTTCTCCTTAGGGTTACCATAAATCAGTAATGCATTAAAGGCACACAACAACAACAATGACAACAACAACAACAACGCCTTGTAACCACTATACCATGCTTCTACTCCCAGGTGCCTTAGGCTATATTTCAGAGGAAGGAACTGGCAAAACCAACTCATATTCCTTACTAAAAACCATATAAAATTCATGGGGCTGCCATAAGCCGATAGATAGCTTGAAGGAGCACACACACACACACTGGCTGATTGTGCACAGGATTGCAGGCTTTGAGGGTTAATGGCTAATTCAATATTAATCACTGTATAAGCTTAATAATTGGAGTAATTTCCCCTAATATACATCACTTTTCTCCTATCAATATTGAATGCTATCTCCTTTTTGTTCTCAGCTCTTCTAGTGCTATGACATACATTTGTAATTTTTCAACCTCTCTCTTAGGTTGAACTGTCTTAAATAATTCATTATCAACTGTAAAGGGATTTTTTTTTTAAAAAAAGTTCAGCAGTTTTATCTTCTGTTATTTTTAGAACTTTGAATTGAATATCCTTTTGTTCTGATTGCTTTTTAACAGTTTGATTTATCAGTTTCCTTCCATCTCTCTTCTATGCATTATAATGATATGTCTTGTTTTTACGCTTTAGTGTTCCAGTGTTATATTTGAATATGCATGGCTTTCATGTTTCATGAACAGATGTTTTATGGGGTTTTTGCATTCTTTTTTCTTTTTGATGGTGACTCCAGTTACATTGACTAAGGAGATTATTGCACAGCAAATTGCCCATGGGATAGACACTGGATTTAAAAGTCAAAGGAAAATGTTACTGCACTGCCCTGTATCTGGGCTGTATGCAACCCATATGCAATCCACACTTCTCCAGGCTCCATGCATAGTTTATTAAACACGAGATTTCCCCATGTTTGGAAAACTGCGTGAGAAGCCCAGAGAAGCACGGATTGCATACGGGTTGCATGCTGCCTGCCTATGGGGCAGTGCAGTAAAATCTGTCTTTCACTTTTAAATCTCACATCTATCCCACAGGTGAATTGCTGTGCAATAATCTCCTAATAGAGATATGGAATTAGATGCCATACTTAAATCACAACCAAACACAATTCTGTTCCAAAAATTGATGTATAAAACTCAAATGTTTTGGCTGGTTCATCTGTCCATGAAGCAAATTGTTGGATGGGTAAACAGACTCTTTTTTTTTTTTTAATGCGTTTGAAAATGATGTACAGGAATATGAAAATTTTACATGTGATACTTAGCTGTGATGGTTCTAGTTATCCACGTCATTCTTTAAATAATGTACATGCATTATGGTATGTGGAACCATCTTGACAAGTGCTACACATCTTTAACCAGTTTAAAGGAATGGTTAGAATGTTGGACAGAGTTGTGGAAGCCTAGGTTCAAATCCCCTCTCAGACAATCAGCTGCTCAGGGACTGTAGGTCAGTCACTATCTCTCAGCTTCATTACTTTCCAGGGATATTGTATGGATTTTTATCCGCACAGTCTGCTTTGAGATCATTAGAGAAAAGATGGCATACAGATTACATAAATAGTTTCATGTCAGTGTTCAGAAATATGTCTGTTATGTGATAATGCTGGAGTAACCTTATACTGTTTGCAACCTGCTCACCTCACACCACTTTCATGTTATGATATATTCAAGGTAGAAAATCATAATTACACATTTTCAGCCAAAGCATAGGTGACTGTGGCCTAAATCAGACAGGTCAAAAGGGCAACAGTGGGACCGTGCTGGCCCTAATCGCACCAGGACTGCAGCGACCACATGGTCTCAGCTCCAATCCAGGTCACTGCTGCAGTTCTGAACTGGGCTGCCAGAAGGAGTGGATCATATCAGCTCCTGTTTGGCCTAGTTCTTTTTGCTTGGCACAGTGTTGGTGCAGTTTCCAGCTTTGTTTGGGGCATGCATCATCTAAATGCCATGCCCTCAACATGACCCTAAGATGCATCATTTTGCCTGTTTCTTTCAGGCCACTGTGTCTCACAAACACCACTCATACTAACAGTGGATCAAGTGGATTCCCAATTCAAGAATTTCATGCATTTAATGAAATCCTGGTTTAAATGCCATACTATCTGTGCAGTAGAGAGATGAGGGAAAATGCCTCCCCTTCACTGGCTGTGGAACTGATATACACCAAGGATCAAAGTTGAATATGATACTTACAATTTCCACACTTAGAAGATGGTCCTTGTAGGAGAGATTTTGACATATTACCTGAGTCTGGAATCATTCCCCTTTTTAGATTAGAATTTCCAGAACCCTCTGACCAGACTCTTCCAAACTCTACTCTACATGTGTGCCTTTGTAGCCAGTTTCGGGGTATTTCTGGAATGGATCAAGGATTACTCAGCTCAGAGATAGTTCTAATCAGATTGTAGTTTAGCAGTTTAAGCCTTCCATTGTGTTGTATAGATTCTACTAATCAGCCTAACAACAACAACAACAACAACAATAATGGTTGCCTCCATTTGGTTTGTGAGGGTATCTTGTGATGAAAAAGGAAAGATTTCTTGAAAGCCTTTTTGAAATGGATGGATCTGCCCTCTTATTTATGAATGCATATTTGGTACTGACAGAGGTATTTCCCCTCTAAATGCCAACCCAGCTTCATTTTGATTTTTTGGCTTCAATCTATTTAGAAACAATTAGCCAAAGAATGGAGACACTGGGTTTTTGCTGAAGGCATCATTAACTGCTTTAGAGGCAGTAATGCCAGCAGTACTTCACTGACTGTTAAATTATCCTGTGTTAGCAGCTATGAAGATGTCTGAGGTAGCATTTTTCCTAAACTAATTTCCAGCAGACACTCCTTTCACTGTCTCATTTCACTCCATCGCTTCTCCTTTCATTATCAAATGGGATGAACTGGGCTTGAAATGCAAACTGCCAGAAGACAGATAAGTGCTGTGGGAACTGGCAGTATCTACATGGAAAAGCACATTATAGCATTGATTTTGCAGATTTCAAAGGGCATGTGGAGTCAGCAGGTTTAATTCCATCCTATAAACATATTAGTGACAAGACTGAGAGTATATAGCATTTTGTTCTGAAACCAAGGACTTTTTTTTCTTGGCACCTTAAGAATGAATGTGAAGTCTCTACTCAGTGAGTCCTAGGAAATCTAATTTGTTTTCTTTTTTTACACTAATCTATTAAAGCATTGTCCTTGAGAAGCCTTGTGTCACATTCCAATTAGGACTGAGAGGTTTTCCTGGTGTTCATTTATTGTTCCTCTGGGTCATCCTGTCCTATATTCCTTTCTCTCAAATTTCTATTAAAGTAGGATGATTTCTCATTAAACTAATTTTTAAAATGTGAAACCTCTTCCTATTAGAGAGATATTATTTGTTCTTTCAAGTGATAATGAAGTAAATGATTATTTATATACTAGCCAAATGATTCCCTCTTAAACTCTATGATTCTATGAACTTCCTCCAATTGGTGTATTACCTTCCTAAAATGAGGTGTTCAGAACTGAATACAGTACTCTAAATGAAGCCAGACTAGTGCAGAATATAGTGGGACTATTACTTCCCTTGTCTTAGAACTTAAAATTCTATTAATGCAGGCTGAAATATTATTTGCCTTCTTTACTGCAGCAACACACTGGTGGTCCTGTTCAGCTTATGATAAAGAGCCTTTTCTCATGTATTGCTGCTAAACCCTAGATTATTTTGAAAAAAAATATTAAGGAAAGGGTTAGACTTGAACATCAAAGATAGTTGCTGATTAGTGGCCTTAATGATAGTCAAAAATAATGGGAATTTACTTTGAAATTTTTATAATTTTATACTACAGCAAGGACAAAATTCTTCTTGCAGGTGAGAATAAAATAAGCACAGATTTAGGTATTATACCGTATTTCACATTTTCTTCTATCATTGTAAATTGGAGATACACAAGCAGATTTTCATAACTAAAAAGAAGTAGCTAGTCTTTTTTGAGCACTGCTGGACTGGTAGGCATTTAGAATTCAGGACAAGTAGGTTTTAGGATAGAAGAATAAAATAAACAAGAAATGTCACATTTGATATTGTATAGCATGAGGGATTGTCAGCAAGAAACTGACATAAAACACCAGTCTTGATGGGGGCATATTCTTGATGAGACTGCTTTTTCTGTAGAATAAAAGTTGCCAAAGTGATGGTGAATAATATAACATGTTAACCTATTTTCATTTGCACAGCAGGTAATGGGCAGATTGTAGTGTTTGCCTCTTTACTCTATAGCACTTAAGAACACATGATGGGATTCCCTTGTTCAGTCCAACTATGTATCTCTATGCATGGCAGGGGTTGGACTGGATGGCCCTTGTGGTCTCTTCCAACTCTATGATACTATCCAAAGGACATCATTCATATCCATTTAAGATTGTTTTGTGTGTGTGTGTATAAGATCTAACTATTGAATTAATAGTGATATTTATAATGTTACTATACCAGAAAGATTTGGTAGGTGGATGTGTTATAGGCACATAGGATATATAAAAGATAAAGGTAATCCCCATTGACAAAGTTGTCAAGTCGTGTCTGACTGTAGGGGGCAGTGCTCATCTCCGTTACTAAGCCAAAGAGCCAGTATTGTCAGAGACTACTCTGTGATCATGGAGTCAGCATGATTGCACAGAACTGCTGTTTACCTTCCCACTGAAGTGGTACTTAATTATCTACTTGCATTTGCATGCTTTCGAACTGCTAAGTTGGCAGAAGCTGGGACTAGTGATGGAAGCTCACCCCATCACACAGCACCTGAGCCTCAAATTGCCAGCCAACAGAGTCAGCGTCTTAACCACTTGAGCCACTGTGTCCCTCCTAAAGGATATATAGAAGAAACATAAATTGTGAAATACAAAGG